TTTGCGGGGTGCCGCCGACCCCCGACCGGTAGGTGCCGACTGATGACCCCCGACCGGTAGGTGCCGACCAGCCGATCGGTCGGCGGGTCGGCAGCCGACCAGTCAAGGGCCGCCGACCGTCGGGGGGTGCAACAATGCTGCTCCCACAAATGTGGAAATTTGATCTGTGGTGATCAAGGTTTCCTGAACCCTGCACCCATGAAGAAAATTGCACACAGCCAAAGTTAAAGCCTCCACTCACCACTGAAAACAACAGCATGGTGGACTTGGGGCACTTCAGTGCTCAAGTTGGGCAAGAGGTCCTTATCTGTCTTTACCTCTTGGACGGGATTGCATTTACGATTCGTTGGAAGTTGGAACCATTCCGTGTCCGAGAGAATAAGAGATGGTATTCATACATTTGCTATTAAACACCTGCTGGTGCAGAAAAGTATCCAAAAGCTTTGCGCACATGCGTGATAGGAAGAAGCGGTATCCGGTTTGGATGGTGAGAGCGAATTGCATCGCAACTTGCCTGGTGCTTAATTCCATGATGACATCTTTCCCACCACAACCTTCTCTTCTCAAGGCGCCTCCACCGCCCAAAATGCAGGTTTGCAACCCTAAACGGACAAGAAGCCAAGCCCAATAAACGTTCCTTCTCCCAAATGGTAAAATAGTAATACAAACCCATCAACTGGATGCTATGCGCTGGAAAAAGCTCTGAGTGATGGCGGTGGCTGCTGCCCGTGGTGCAAGCACTTTGTTCCTCACACGCCGTCCGACATCATCTGCAAGCGTTCGCAGATACTCATCCTGCCGTAACCTGCCATGAAACGCCACCATTCACACGTCAGACGTACGTGGTCATGGTCCATCATCCAGCCAGTTCACATGCCTAAATTGACAAGAATCCAAGTTGCTCTCTCTCTCTCTCTCTCTCTCTCTCTCTCTCTCTCTCTCTCACACACACACACACACACACACACACACACACACACACACACAACCCTGCTCGGCAATTTGGTTGGGATGGCCATAGTTTTTGATAATAATCTTGTTCACATTTCACCGCAAGGTCCGAGTGCGTAAGTTGTTACACCACCACTGTTCCTGACGAAATCCATAGGTTGCCACAGGGTCCGTGTTAACCACAGGCTGGTTGGGTCAGGCCTTAAGGGCGGGAAGGGGGNGGGGAGCACAGAGGGAGGGGGAGTGCTAAATTTTGAGTTCAATGACTTGAGCAATTTTTCACAGTCAAGATTTCAATGAAAATCAGGGACAGAAAATTGAGTGCTGATATGTATGTAAAACTAGAAAAATGAAATCAAAACTGTGGATGGGAAAAAAAAAAACTTTGGCGGCAAGAAAGAGTGCATAGTTCTGCTCCTCATTGCGAACACAGAATCGGCGCCAGTTTGAAAATGCTTCATGTCAGCAATGCTACAGAGTTGCAAATAACCCTGCAATGAAGGGCGACTGAAATTCTGCTTCGGCTGATTGACTGGTTCGCTCAATTGGTTGAGTAATTGATATCTTGCCCGTCCATTTGACACTGCTTCACGTCAACAACATTAGAGGTAAAAAAAGAAAAACAAGTCGAAACAAACCTGAGAATCCGAAGGAGTCTCAGATTTCGATTGGTTGATTGACTGGTTTGTTTGATTGGCCAAGGGATCGGCTAGCTGGTTTATTGCTGGTTATCGGTTCATTCATTAGTTGATTGATCGATCAATTGATTAATTGACTGGTTACTCCGTTGGTTGGTTGGCTGCGTCTTTAATTTGTTTTGTGCTGCATGCTCCGTTTCTTGATTGGCTGATTGCTTGGTCCAGGCTGGACTGGATTCCGTTTGGGATTGGGATGGGATTTCGTTGACACGGGGATGGGATGGGAGGGGAGGTGAGGGGAGGCGAAGGGAGGCGAAGGGAGGCGAGGGGAGGGGAGGGGAGGGGAGGGGAGGGGATCTGATACGACTTGATCTGACTTGATTTGACCTGATTTGAATTTGGATTGGGGTGGATTAGGGTGGATTGGACTGGATGGAATTCGATTGACAGGCCAGCAGACTGAATACACGATTGATGGGAGGGGAGGGGAGGGGAGGGGAGGGGAGGGGAGGGGATCTGATACAACTTGATCTGACTTGATTTAACCTGATTTGAATTTGAATTGGGGTGGATTGCGGTGGATTGGGGTGGATTGGGGTGGAATGGGTTGGATGGAATTGGATTGACAGGCCAGCAGACTGAATACATGGTTGATCACTGATTGCCCAACTGGTTGACTAATTGGTAATTTTGGGTGGTGGGACTTCGCCAGCAGTACTAGCAAATATGGACACACAGAGAAAAATCGACAGCGACAGTGTATGGTGACTATAGTCTGCATACCACACAACAGAGGGACCATGAAAAACAGAAAAAGAGGAGAAAAGATGGAAATGAAAGTCAGTGATGTGCAGCTCGCTGCTGCTCAGCATGAGTTGAAAAGGAAGAAGAGATGGACAGCGCACACATTGTCAACGTCCACGGAAGGTATGAAGTACAAAGAAGTCCTTCTTCGCTGATTTTGACTCAAGGCAACAGAACTCGAACCTATGACCGTCTGTACCATCCTGTCATTTCTTTTCTGCCTGTCATGGTGGTGCACTCGACACATTCTTCCGCGTCATGGTTCATAACTTCATGCATCAGGAAATGGACAAATAGGAAATAATATAAGAAATGGCTTTGAAGAAAATGGAGTTTAAATGGACAGAAAATAATATTTAGACAATCACCTCTCTGCTATCATGTGCCTCACATTTCTCCACATCAACTTATTGCTCTGTTCTCTCTGGCGAGCTTCTAGTTCACCCGACGCCGTCATTTTCGCTCGGAAATCCAAAGCACTTTTCAGCAGATCTTCAATACCTTCTCGTGTCCTGGTACTGGCTGCAATAACCTGCACATCCCACCAAACATAGCTCAGGAAAATATATGTAGCCCCCTAAGAAAAACAATGGCCCCACAGTTCGGCGAGCTCTTTACCAAAAGCTTGTGAGATGGAAGGGGAGGGTTAAGCCACCAGCACAGGGCGCAAGCATTGCAGTCGACGAGAATCATGCACCTCGAGAAAAAGCGGTGCTGTCCACAGTTGAGCTCAGATATACAGCAGGAGGTGCCCAGCAGTGGACTGAAGGCTGAACAGAAGCAGCAGAAGGGACTGCAATCAGACTCGCATTCTTCTTTACTTTGCATACATGCAAACAGATGGCAATTCGGACTGGTGCCAAGCGCCCACTCAAAGCTCAGAGATATGGAAACCGAGAACACAGTTCAGATGCAAACTCGCTTCAACAAGCTATGGCGCATCGGCGCCTGTACATCCCAACTATCGTCTCTGTGTCCAACACCACTGTTCGCACATACTCAACTCTGGATCACCCTGAATAGCCCACACGCATTCACTGTATCACACACTCATACACACACACTAACACCTAACACTAACTATGGCGGCTATGGCCGCCAGCTACTACTAACTATGGCGCAGTGACTTCTTCAAGCCCACTTCGACCTCGGGCATCTGCAGACCACCTCGCACAAGACGCTCGGGCAGCGCTTCCGCATGGCGCACAGCAGCATGAATGAATGAATGGCGCTGCCTCTTGATTTATACTTCTGTAAGTCGCTGGTCTGCCCTTTACCACCGGGCCCATGGTGCACACAGTCCCTCATGGTACTTGCTGACTGTACAAAGTGAGACTGGGACTGGGTAGCGCTGACTAAGCGAAGTTGGACTTACCACTTGCCCACTTGCCTCTGGTCTACTGTGTATAGCGTGAGAAGAAACTTAAGGCCACTTCCGGACGTTCCGGAAGTTTGCGGACTTGACCTTTCAGGACTGTAGCAGCTACGACCTTGACCTTTCAGAACTTCAACAACTATGACCCCTATGCAGGGGTGACCCCTACTTCGACAGGTCTAAGGTTCAAGACCCGACAACTACTCAGACCTACAACAGACAACTTTTAACTACTAACACGCAGGTCACGGGTTCAAGACACACAGGGTCGACTTGATACTGTACACAGGTAAGGTAACGTAAGGTGAGGTCTGGGGATCGAGCCCTGGGATCAGCATCTGTGTCTGCGAAAAGGTGAAAAACGTTTCAGGACCAAGGGTAGACTCGCAAAGGGTGGAAGACGGGGTAGCAGGGGTAGCCATGGCAGCAGAGGAGGTAGGGGTCGAAGAAGAGTTAAAAACAGTGGAACGGACCCTAAGTTTGAGTTGGATTGGAAGCAGCGGAGGAAAGGGAAGAACCATTAGACAGGGTAGAATCATAGAATGAAGGTAGAGAGTGGGGGGAGGGGGAGTCAGGAAGAAGGGGTAGGAATAGAAAGGGTGCAAGAGGAGGTAGAAGCAGTGGAAGGAACAGGGAGTCGACTGAACCTTGAAGAGGTGGAAGAAGGCGAAGAAACAGTGACAGGGAGGGAGGTAAGAGAGTGGGGTGTAGCATGCTGAGGCCGCTACACGGGCCCCTGTTTTGGGGCCCGATGGTTGTTCCAGGCCCCCAGGCCGTGCACCCATTTTCGGTGAGCGACCTGGAGGCCCACGGCCATATTCCAGGCCAGGCCCCCATCATTTATTATTTTTGCTGTGTGATACAGCTTCGTCCGTTGGGGGCCGTGTTCAGATTTGTCAGTATGTGGGACTGGACCAGGCCTTTGTCCGTTTGTGCCTGGCCGAGTCCTCAGGACCCTGCTGCATCAGCAGGATTGCCTGGACGTTCGATAGGGACCCAGGCAGGCCGTTTTTGGCCAGGATTGTGGGACCAGGACTGGGGCCTGAGATCAGGACCATCGATCGGACATCAGATCCGACAGTCCTGATCACAGACGGAGGACTGCTTAGCCAGGCCCAGCGGTATATAGCTGGGCCAGTCCTCCGCTTTGAGGACATTCGGGCTGGAGCCTCCTTTGGGCATCACACTGCTGGAGCAGCGCCAGTTTGGAGAGAGCTGCTATAGAGCAGCGCTGGTGGATAAGAGGACTAGGCTGGAGTGGAGAGGTTTGGCAGAGGCCATGTCCACGAGGGAGAGAGACTTACCCGGGCTCCATAGGTGGGACTTCTACCGGTCATGGAACCGGCCTTCAGCAGCGACCTGCATCGGGAGTCGTCACCTTCGTTGGTCAGTACTCACGGCATCGTCATCAGGTGCGCGTGAGAGAGGAGAATTGTTCT